ATTCTCTCCCTGAACTGTTTGCATCACGATGCGTTATCACTGGAAGAACTTCCTTGTTTCTCTTCTCCCTGCTTCCTTTCCCCTTTTAGTCATGTTTTCCAGAATGAAATCCCATTTTTAAATTGGTGTTATCAACTGTATTAAAAGGAATACTGGAGTGGGAGAAGATCCTTTTTCCATTAGATTTTAACAACATTCTTTGTTTTAACTAACAAAAGGCAGAGAGGAAAGGTTCAAGTTTTGAAAGAGATCAACTACGAGTCTCACTCTGTCAGCTATTCGTGGCTGGAACAGAGACAATGACAGAAACACTTCTGTGGGGATTGCTCTATCTGATGGCCTTCCCAGAGTTCCAAGGTAACGAATTATGAAACAATGTTCTTGACTAGTAAGAGTAATACCTTCACTTATGCCAAATGAGGAAGGAACCTGCACTGGGGAGTCAATATCATGGCTGGCAATTCAGTGATCTGCAATGTCATCACTTCTGGTGGTCACCTGGCTGGGAAGTATACCAAACATGTCTACATGGTGTCACTGAAATATTTTCCAGAAGGTAACCAAGTTCTTGATTCCTCAGAGAAATGCCAGGAAGAAATAGACACTGTTCTGGGAAACAAATCAAGCATGAAGTATGAAGATAGAGAAAACTTGCCCTACACAAATGCCGTCATTCATGAAATCCAACACATTTCAAATGTTGCTCCTCTTGGAATGCCTCACGCACCCATTCAAGATGTACAGCTTTTTGGATATAAAATTCTGAAGGTAAAAGCAGAAACCTTTAAATGAAGTGAAGTGTTGGTGAATCTGCATGTGTTGATCTGTATCTTTCTGACCTGAGGTGTGTGTTTGTATGTAAGAGCAAGAGAAAGCAGGAAGTTAGGGTCAATCCTGTTCTTTCACATGGAGGGAAGACATAGCACGGTCAAAGGAAAGAGGAGTTGCTTTTGGACCTCCTTGTGTGAAAGTGCAATAGGCTTACTGACCATTTTTCCTGTTGTGTGCTTTGGCAAGTTGGCATAGTTTCCTGGGGTTCTCTAAAGTTCTTGCAGCAAAGGTGGCTTTTGAAATCTGAGGAACTCTTCCTTATGAAAGGTGGGTGATAGCTCATGTTGGTGTATCTGTGTCAGAGTCGCACACTCATTCCCAAAGTTCAGTAAATCCTCTGGAGTCTAAACAGTTCCATCAAAGATTTCTTTATTGGGAGATATG